CTGTATGAGGTCATATGAGTAGTAGTGGTAGTACAGGGTTTTACGGCTCTGGCAACTGTATGAGGTCATATGAGTAGTAGTGGTAGTACAGGGTTTTACGGCGCTGGCAACTGTATGAGGTCATATGAGTAGTAGTGGTAGTACAGGGTTTTACGGCGCTGGCAACTGTATGAGGTCATATGAGTAGTAGTGGTAGTACAGGGTTTTACGGCGCTGGCAACTGTATGAGGTCATATGAGTAGTAGTGGTAGTACAGGGTTTTACGGCGCTGGCAACTGTATGAGGTCATATGAGTAGTAGTGGTAGTACAGGGTTTTACGGCTCTGGCAACTGTATGAGGTCATATGAGTAGTAGTGGTAGTACAGGGTTTTACGGCGCTGGCAACTGTATGAGGTCCTATGAGTAGTAGTAGTACAGGGTTTTACGGCGCTCGCAACTGCTTGAGGTCATATGAGTAGTAGTGGTAGTACAGGGTTTTACGGCGCTCGCAACTGCTTGAGGTCATATGAGCGCCAGAAGATTAGAGGTGTTACAAGAGAGTAACAAACATAGAAAAGAAGAAGGAGACATAAGGACGATAGATGTTGGATAGGAAAGAAGAAGCAGACCACACCAGAGCACCCGCCAACCACCCACTAAAAATGTCCGATAAAGTGTTGGGTTAAGTAACATCCGAATAGGAGGCTAATCAATTGTCGTCATTAGTTTTTGTTGACTAAGAGTTTTACGGCCCCTGCAACACAAAAAGAACATAAAGTGCTGAAGAAGAATAGACGTGTTACCAGAGAGTAACAAACACAAGGCAGAAGGAGGAGAGAGGAGGACGATACATCTAGAACGTGTTTGATAGGAAAGAGGGAGCAAACCACTCCAGAGCATCTGCCAACCACCCACGTTGTAGACATTTTAATGGCCCCCATTGAAACAGTTTGGATTTTCCAGAGGGTCTGTGCTGATCAATGGTTAAGTGAACTGAGATAAATAGAGATAATAATAGATAAGATAACATATAATATAACATTGGGCATATTCCCGCTCAGTAGTAAGCTCTCTGCGCTTTACAATCAATAATATTACACCAGCAGACCTGATAGCGTTCTGAAACATTCTCAACTTCCTGGGAAGCAATAAATGCAAGCTGCTATGTTATAGGCGCTCAAACACTAACATACTGACAAGATCTTTCGCTATCTATGGCCGGGTACCCATTCCCACCTGGGTGAAGTGAGGAAAACCTGTGTAAAGTGACTTTCTCAAGGACACAACGTCGGGCCTGAGGTTCGAACATCTGAACCCGCAACCGACAGACAGACAGACAGACAGACAGACAGACAGAGAGAGAGAGACAGACAGACAGAGAGAGAGAGAGAGAGAGAGAGAGAGAGAGAGAGAGAGAGAGAGAGAGAGAGAGAGAGAGAGAGAGAGAGAGAGAGAGAGAGAGAAAGGGATAGAGAGAGATAGATAGATAGAAGAGAGAGAGAGAGAGAGAGAGAGAGAAAGAAAGAGAGAGAGAGAGAGAGAGAGAGAGAGAGAGAGAGAGAGAGAGAGAGAGAGAGAAATCAACAACCACGCTTTCCCTGTGAGAGACAAGGATCAGTACTGACATCTCACTATCCGTGATTGTCATGAGAATGTTGTCTTGTGTCATATGAGCACCAAGGAGTGGATGTCAACAGAGAAGGCCTTACAGGGAATCAGACTTACTCTGCTCACCTCTCTAGCTTCAACAGCACAAGGTCTGCTTCGACTATCAAGGCAAGCCGTATAGCGGGTCACAAGAGTGTGACAAACATACAAAAGAAGTAGAGGAAAATGACAATAGTAGTACTAGTAGTAAGGATTAGGAAAGAAAAAGCAGCAGTTCGCTGTTGCAGTTCAGGCAGTTATGAGCATGACATTGATGAATCAGCATATTTTTACAATTACAATTCTATTGTGCATAAGAACTCGAGATGGTAATGTCCCCTCTTTGTGAATGGCCTAAAGACACTTCAGTCAATAGCACAGCTTTGGCAAATACCACAGGCAAACAACAGTGGAACCTGCTTTAACGACCAGCCGTCTAAGGCAACCACCTGTACAAACAGACAATTCTCTTTTCCCCACCTTGAGCTTGTTGTAAAGCTTTATACTGACACTGTATAAGAGGTCAACTTGTTTAAAACAACCACATTTGTCGTCGACAATGGGTGGCCATCTTAGACAAGTCCGACTGTAGCCTACATGCAACTATGTTCAAATGAAAGCATATTTTATCTCCCCCCCCCCCTCCCCCCTTTCCGGGCAGTGCTACTGACTGAAGTGTTTTAGACCATTCCCAAAGGAGGGATATTAACATGTTCTTATGCACAGAAGAATTGTAAATGGGCTGATTTATCAATGTCATAATGTCATGCTCATAACTGTGCCGGAACAACTTAGGGGGAACTCTTGCTTTTTCTTTCCTCATCTTTACTATCGTCATTTTTCTTCTATATCTTTTGTACGTTTGTCACTCCCTTGTGAACTGCTATTTCCGGGGTGCCTTGATAGTCGAAGCAGAGTTTTTATGTTGTTTTATTTTAGTTTTAGCAGAGGTTTTACGGCGCACGCAACTGCATAAGGTCACATGAGCGCCACTTTTCTGTTGAGACTAGAGAGGTGAGCAGACTAAGCCTGGCTCTACGTTTGGACTTCTCTGTTGACATCCACCTCTTGGTGCTCCTATTATTGTGACCTTAGGCAGTTGCAAGCGCCGTAAAACCTTACTAAAACAAAAGTATGCTCATTTATTTAGTTAGTTTTAGTTTAGTTTTAGTAAGAGTTTTACGGCACTAGCAACACAATAAGGTCATATAAGTGCCGATTATTAGAAGTGTTACAAGAGAGAAACAAACACAAAAAAGGAGGAGAGATAAAAA